AAAAAAAAAAAAAAAAAAAAGCCAAAGAGCTGGGCGTTATTTCGAGTACGGGGCCCGCAGGTAGGCAAGAGCCTGTGGGCGGGGACCCGGCGCCCAGGAGGGAAGGGGCTGGCTCAGAGACGCTAGCCGGGCGGGCACGCCAACCCAGTGGAGATGACCACCCAGGGCCGGGCCTCCAGCTCTTGGCACCCGCACACTCGCCAACCCAGCTGCCCGCACGCAGGCCAGCCAGCCGCTGCCGCTTACCAGTGGCGTCTCGCTGACTCCCTAGAGGCAGCCCTTCAACGGTTCCCGCTGTCAGAGCACCACCCCGCGGTGGGGTACGTCCAGCCAGCCCGCAGCTCTCGATCCCCGCAGCGCCGCCACTCTCGCGAGAAATCAGGAAGTCCGCGAAGTGGGGGGAGCAGGAGCAGGGAGGGGCACTTAACGGTGGCGGCTGGTTCTGCGCCGGATGCGGGAGAGGGGCGGGCGCCATTGTGCTTCGCTGCGGACTGCTTTTCCACAGTCACGGGCCTAGAACTCCGAGGAGGAAGGCGACGGTGCGGGTCGCTGCGAGCGGAACGCGCCCTGGTCAGTGCTGGCTCAGGAGCAGGGGTAATGAGCTGCGGAGCTCGGTCTTCTCAGTCCCGGGAGCTAGTTCGGGACCAGGCCGCGAGTGGGGGAGGGGAGGAAACGAAGAGGCCTGCGGACGCGGAGGCCGCTTCCTCTCCGGATAGGATGGAGGAGCTTGGTACGGGGCCACCGGTGCGAAGAGGGACACGGCGCAGGCTTCCCCTGCCAGGGGCCTTTCGTCCGGTAGTGGTTTGTGGCGGGTGGAGGGGGCAGATTGTGTGTCTTCCTCAGGGACGTGTGACTGGTAAGGGGAAAAGGCCTGAGCCCTCCTTTGACACGCGGGGCGGCCTCCTCTTGGGCCGCGGTACTGGGGGGTGGGGGTCCTCGAGCCCTGCGGGCAGCGGGTGTCGCGCGTGAGCTCGCCAGTGAGTGCAGGGAGAAGGCGGGCAGGGCTCCGGCTCGCCCAGCCCGGCCTGGAGTCGAAGTGACTTCGGCAGGCCCTTAGATTCCACCAAGATTGGCTTGTTGGTAACGCCAGTTTTTGAATATCGTGACGCCCTGGGAGTTATTTTTGTGTGGTGGCGAATTGTGGAGTTTGCAACTGGAAGTAGTTGATTGTATTAAAGATGGACCTGTTGGCCTAAGAAGTAAAAATATGGAAGGCGCCGGGAGTAGGAAACTCCCTCATTTTGGTGAAACTGCGTATTGAAAATGAATGTGTCCACCCACTCACCCCAAAATGCTGCACTTAATACTTTCTCCCAAGTATCAAAGTAAATATAGTGGGAAAGTATCAGAGTAATAAGTTCATCACGATTAATGTTAAATGTGTCAAAACTAAATTTAGCGAGTTTTTTCCCCCTATTTTGTAGGATTGATTAGATATTTTTCTGATTAGATGTTATTTTAAATCTCCACGTTTCTATCCAGAACCAAGAGGTGGTGTTAAAGATGAATTTTTGATTTAAAAATCAAACAATGTACAGTTACTAAAAAGGCACACACATGGTGTAACTAGATCTTTTTCTTGAGATAGCAAAAAGTTAATTTGAGAAATGGGGTCAGTATAATATTTTCATTTAACAACTCTACAGCATTTCGGGAAACAGCACTGGTGTATAGTAGCACCAGACTCAGAAGACCTGGGTTTGAGTCATAATTTTTTTCCATAATTATTTAAGCTCATAAGATTGTCTCAGAAACATGGCAGTTAATTTCTAGAGAGGATTAAATTTGCTGAGGTGGTGTGTGAAGCAGTCACTGTCGGACATAATACTAGTCTCGGTTTTCATCCAGTTTCATGCTGGGTCAGGTGTCTTGAATAAGAATTCCTACTTACTCAAGTACAAATGGTTTCCTTTTTTCTGCTACCCTAGGAGAGGGCTTATTTTCCCAGATAAAGGACGAGGATGCCCAGGTATGTTCTATATGAAGGTGTCAGGTAACAAACATGGACACAAAAGTCATCATCCATGACTCTCCTGTAGCCAGCATTTAGTCCGCTCCATACCCACCTCACACAACTCTTTATCTGCTGTATGTTCAAGAATTGCATACATTTTGACATTGTATTATAGGAAAATAATTTTATAATAGAAAATCTCTCAAATATCTTAAAACTTTTTTTGGAAAATTTGTGATTTGTCGTACTTAAATTACAAATTACAGAGAGCTTCACATTGCAAGAATGAGCTTGACATGGCATCTGCCCTCCACAACTCACTGTTTAGTCATCAGACTAATGTATAAACAACTATTATTATCTTAGTATGACTGTACAGTAGTTCTGTGGGAGCACAGAGGAGGGGAACTTGATCTTGGAAATTTTACAGGATTTGTTTATTGCTTGAACTAAGATGTGAAGGATCACTAGGACTTTGATAAAGAAACTGTGCAGCGTCATGATGTTTTGTTTTAGGAATTCATGATTTTTTCCTGTAGCTGAAATATACATTGAATGGTAAGTTAGACCCTGACATGAAAGACCTTCTCCACTGTACCAGAAAATTAGTGTCTGGATGTGGTGGCTCACTCCTGTAATTCCGTCACTTTGGGAGGTCAAGGTGAGATGATTGCTTACAGCCAGGAGTTCAAGAGCAGCCAGGGCCACAAAGACCCCATCTTTGCAGATGTAGTGGTGCACACTGCTACTAGTAGCTACTTAGGCTGTTGAGGCAGGACCAATCATTTGAGCTCAGGAGTTGGAGACTGCAGTGAGGTATGATAATAGCTTAACTGCACTCCAGCCTGTGCCATAGAGCGAGACCCTGTCTCTAAAATATAAATAAATAAAAATAAAGTTAGTGCTCTGTTCTGTGGAATGGAGAGCTATTGTGTTCCTTAACAAAATAAAAATAATTTTTAGATTATCTTTACTGATATATCCTTCTGTTAGCACAGATAATTAAGTGCCAGTAATAAAGAACGGTGGGACATGCATGAATGAAATGCAGTGTTGCATTAAACTTCACTTTTAAACAACAAATTAAACTAAGCTAAAGAAGCTTTTAACTGTTAAATAAGTGAATCAACTGATCACATGAGAATGATTACAATTTAAAAGGAATCAGATTTTAAGTTCCTACTAAGATTACTTGAATTCACCAAAGCAGAATTCAGTTACAGTCAAAAATTTTATCTTAATATACAGTATTTGCTAATCATAAGATGAGCCAAAAAGTCTGAGATTGGGGAGGATAAAATTATAATTTGAGAGTTTTAAGGGGTTTAATTTCTTTCTTTCTTTTCTTTTCTTTTCTTTTCTTTTCTTTTCTTTTCTTTTCTTTTCTTTTCTTTCCTTCCTTCCTTCCTTCCTTCCTTCCTTCCTTCCTTCCTTCCTTCCTTC